GAACTATCAGGGGTGGCTCCTGAGGGGCCTTAGCCCCCCCCCCCCCAAAGTTGTAATTCTAAACAATTTTGTAATGTTAAAAACAATATTACAAAAAAAAAATCATCGACATTTTCTGAAAATTATGACTTGGTCCCCCCCTAATCATGTCTCTGGAACTGTGAACTTTACCTGCTATACTACTCCTAGTACCTACTAACCTACTGTCTAATGTATACTGTACTATCTACATTTTTTACTTTCATAAGACTGCATATAGGTACTCATAAACGATACGTAAAAACATATAAATCCCGACTCTCTCATGATATACCAAATAAATCATTTTATATTAATGCACTATTTTTATAGGGATTTTTATTGTAAATAATAATTTAAATTTTGTAAATATAAGTAATATTTACTTGGAATAGGTAATTTGAAATAATAATTGTTTATAAAAATAAAAACAATCAATTGACTAGGTAGGTACCTAACTATTGTATTTATAATAATACATATAGCACATAAGGTTAGGCCTGGACCTAATTTTAAGACTAATTTTCTTAAAGGGATAAGCATAAATTCATAAATAGGGTATACCCTCCAATAGTCCAGTAGCTTAGACATGATTTCCGAAAGGGGGAGGGAAGTTAAAAAAAAATGACATAGGAGGGTAAAATTGGCAAATCCCCCACCCTCTCAAAACTTTTTACTAAGATAATAACAAGCCAATGGGGGGATCTGACCCCCACGACCCCCCTTGTCTACTCCACTGTCCAATACACCACTATTAATATATATTTTGTGGCAATTATTTTAATAATACTATAATAGTAAATATTATAACAGTTTTGAAATAATGAAATATAACGAGAATAAAAGTATGATAGGAGTAATAGACAGTTTTCAGCAATGTAGTTGAAATTTATCCAACAATAATTTTCACCCAAAATCCCTTGCTTCAAATATTTTAAAATTCACGCACCGAGATAGCCACATAGCCAGATCGACCGCCGTGTATTAGTTAGCTCGGAACTAACCAGGGTATATACAATAGTTCACACTTTTTATAGTAATTATTTTTCTGCATTTGGTTAGGAATTTGGTGACATTTTTGAGACCAAAAATCATAATCAAAACCAAATTGTTACCTATCTCACACTTCACAGTTTTACCTATGTGATTCATAGCATAGACACAATTGTGTATTTATCTAGTAGTCTAGTACAATACGTAATAATATTATAGTTTGGTGCAATAACACAAGTTCTTATAAAATAATGTAATTTATAAATTGTATTAAATCTTTGTGTATAGAATGGTACCTATGTAGAGTATAAAAAAGAACAATGTATCCTGGGAGCAGCTCAATATTTGACTAAGTAGATATTCGTGGTCAATGGTTACATAAAATCGGAAAATAATTATTGTGATGTAAAATTGTGACTCGAAGGAGCTCTTTATTATGGTTTCCGCTTACATTTTTAATGTTAGTAATATGCATATTAATGATGGCTTTCAGTTAGGTATTTTATAATTTATCACTTCTTAATTTCTTTGTGGACATACCTTAACACGCATACATATTTAATATTTATCAATTAAAAAGCACGAGGAGCCTTATTAGATTCAAGACGGGGTACATAGTATAATATACTACATACCTAGGTAGTGACTATGTAAAATCACTTCACGTACTTATCATAACTTATAATTCTAATAAAAATATTCAATCCTATACCTAACGTTTTTAATGCTTTTATTTCATATTATCTATATAACTGATAATATTTTGTATACCTTTTTTAAATTTTATACCTATTACTTTATCACTAGTGTATGATACAAGTCAACACCATGCATGTCTTACAAGTTACAACAATTTCAATGGTTGCAAATGTCAAGTCTAATTCTGGATCGTATTATAGTCTCATTATAATACATTTTATTCAGTTCACTCAGTTCAGTTACAAAAAATGTACCAAAATGTATGTTGGAAATGTTTGGTGTGTTCCCAACATTATATTTGTGGTGTTAAACTATAATAAATAAGAGAAAGTGTATGATAAGAGATGGTTTTAATAAAAAAAGGACTATACATTTATAAGTACCCTGTATATTAAATATTAAAATTTGAATTCAACCGAAATATTTATAAGTGTAGATATTTAACATTACCTATATCAAAAAAAATATTAACATATCATATTATATTTTTCAGGTAAAAAAGAATATGAAATTGAAAAAATCTACTTCCATGAAATAGTAAACAATGAAATTCTGTATTATGTCAAATGGAAACAATTTGACAATAACAGTAACACATGGGAACCCGAAGAAAATTTAAAAAACTGTGCTGAAATTCTGAATCATTACAAGACTGAAAAAAATTTGTTAAAAAACCAAAAATGATGTATCCAAATTAATATTTTTTTTTTATATTTTAAAATAGTTAAAAATGATGTATTACATTATACCAACATTTATTGTATTTAAAATAACTACTAATTATATTATATAATTTTGTACTGGGTAAATATTTTCATTTTAAGAAGTTAGGGGGAGGGGGGGCGTTGAAAAATATTTGTCTTCTCAGGGGGACTGCAGTATTAAAAAAGTTGAGACACACTGGTAACTGGTTTAAACCAACATAAACAATAAATGAGTTTTTGACAGCTATTGCTTTCACATTTATTATAATAATTAGTATTGACTGTCAATTTTCAATTTTATAAAAATATAGTATAATTTGTATTACGTATTAGCTTTTTATTTATTATTAAAAGTATTATTTTTTGTATGATTGTGTGCTAGGCACTTCTTGCTGACCCGTAATAACTAATAATAATACATTTTAAAATAAATAACAATACATTGTTTGAAATGGTTTAAGAAAAAAAATAATATTTTGTTTAAAGTATGACGCACGTCACAAGACACTTTGAAAATAGCTTATTTTGTCCCATGGATTTTTTTACCCTATTACTGAAGATATTATGATGATGCGACCCCCTCTAACTTTGATGCACTTTTGCATTCGACGATGTACCTAATGAACTCTTAAGTTTTTTCCATCAAATTTAGTGTTTGAAGAATGATATCAGCTACATTCTCATCAAAAGTTCATCTCTATTATTGACTTTGTTGGACTAAACTTGTTCTTTCATAAAACCCCATAAGAAAAAGTCGCATGGGTTGAAATCAGGACTACGGGGTGGCCATGTTGTGTCTGGGCGATATTGAGCATTGTTTCCAGCTTGTCTACACCAATAAGTTTGTCTGGGAAAAGATAATGCAATATTGCTGTCGGACTGCATTTGTATGATGAGGAGGTGCACACCATTTAAAATAAACCACATTGTTTCTTGTTCTTCCAATGGTACGTTCTATAATAGTACCGGAAGATCATATGTCATAATTAGGGCAGAGGACTTGTAGCATTTGCATATTTTTTTTGCACAGTCACAAAAATAGCAGAGTGCGAAACAAATACGTTCCATGCTTCCACAAAGCTAGTTTTAAAAATCTATTGTGCATATAAATGCATATTTTGCAATTTTTTAGTTTTTAGGGCATATTTCTTTCATTTTATACTTTTAGATGCATATTTTAAATAATTTATCATTTTATCAATATTTTTAGTAGACGTTTTTATTTATTTATTTTTACAACCAAAATAAAGTTGAATTTAAAATTATTTTAAATTTTGATCATTACATGATCTTTCACTTTCTCCGGAACCTATAAATACAAGGTAGGGGGATCGTGGGTAAAAACCGCATGTTAGTATTGTGAACACCAATAAATATAAACCACTATAAAAATAATTGAAGACGTTTTTTAAAATTAAATCAAGCACCCGGTACAGTGGGTAAATTATTCAAGAGAACATGAATATTTTAGAGAAAAATAAAAGTTAACAAATATTGGCTCAAGTGTCAAGAATTTTATCTGGTGAAGAAACTTCAATTATAGTCAGAATACCTGAAATCTTGAGCCTTGGTGATTTAGAATATATTAAATATGGTCCTATAAATTCTGTTGATGTTGAACGTTTTTTATCAATGTTCAAAGTGCTGTTAGCTGACAATAGAAAAAGTTTTCAATTTGAAAATTTGAAAAAAACATCTTATTTTTCAATATAACTTCCAATGTAAAAATGTGTGTTAATCTTAAATATTTGAAACAAAAATATTTTGTCAATTGTTTTATAGTAGTTGAAGAAGTAGAAAGTTGAAAGTTTTGAAGAAGTATCCAGATGAGAAAACATCAAATAAACCAAATAATTTATTGTAACTTGTAAGTTGTTAAGTTGTAAATACAATTTATTCATTAAAATAATAGAGAAGTACCTACAGAAAACTTTTTGTTTTTCGTTAAAAAAATATTCATTTTTAAATGCATATATTTTATATTTGAGTGCATATTTGGTGATTTTTTAGAGCTACAATTCCTCTGCCCTAGTCATAATAAAATGTGAAAAAACTTGACCATTTAATCTAGCAGGTAGTTTGTGTGGGCCAGGGGCCTAATAAATTATTTCCAACTAACCCACACCAAATATTTATACTAAATTTGTGCCTTATACTAATGCCATGCAGATTTTCCTCAGAACATATTGTGAGTTGTGGTTGTTAAAAATCCCATCTTTTGTAAATGCAGCATCTTCAGTAAATAAAATATATTTAAAAAAAATTGGATTTATATTGACGAACAAAATGTTTGCGAAAAAATCAACTGTATTATAATATACATAAATATAATCCTCCTCAATGAAAAATTCTGGTTATTCCACTGTTAGATTATCTTATTTGTTATCATCTTATAGAAAATTGGGCATCCATGTTTTGGTTCTAGATGTATTCATTATAAAATCCGGTATAGTTGATGATTTAAGTAATCAATAACTTAAAAAATAAAATAAGAAATATTATGTTATTATTACATAAAACCAAATACATACATCCAGACAATTAAAAATATTAACAAACAGTATTGAAATTATGTTGGAATTAATGTCAACTTAGATAAGCTTCATCCATTTTTTTAAATTTGTCTATTAAATCTTCTGGTACATCCAAGTCGTGGAAATTATCTGTTCCTATTTCATCTTCAGTTCTGGAAAAAAACCAATTTAGCAATTTAATGTTTAATTGAAACAATATACATTAGAATTAGTAGCTAAGACTAGAAAATTGAAAATAAAGTTTTCCATAGATTTTCCTTAGGAAAATTAAAAAAAAAAAGTTGAACATAATTGAACAATTATTTTTGTTAATAATAGTACTGTAGTCTGTACTAAATAAAAGCGCACGAAAACCGGTCAAAACTCGCGCATGACAGAGTGCGCTACCGCAGCATGTGGCAGAGTAGAGTGTCGGCGGCCAATGACAGAGCGAATAGACCCAGCCAGGGGGTCCGGACGTCACTCCTCGATTCATTTGAATGCACCAAAGCGGTGCGCTCTTATTTGGTACTGAGTATACATTATTAATATCAAATTCATAATAGTATAATAACAGACATAATTATGATAAAAAAGTAAAAATGTATGTATAATATATAAATATTATAGGTGCCTGAGGTTAAAATTTTGATGATGTTGGATATTCATACATAAAATAATTTTTTATATTTTGTTTTAACAAAAAATATATTTATCACAGAAACTTGAAACATTCCACTATTTGATAAAAAGTATTTAAAATGTTGAGTTTTTTTCTAGAAATATTGATAGAAGCTAATAGCTTGGCCAAAAGCTTGAAAAATGAGTAGGTACGAGATAACCATAATTTTTCTAATAATATATTTAAAAATATCAAAAATACATGGGCACAATTTTTTTGATAAGCGTTTCAAACTATTCAAAATAAATCATAGTTGAAATTGAAAATAATATTATACATACTATTAAATAATAAAATGTAAAATTAAATTAGCTTTAAGTATTTGTTTATTTTATAGTTATTACTCATTAATACGCAAGTTTAGTTGGACGGTTTTTATGTAAAGGGGCACAACTACTGCATAAAACAAATGTTGACATTTTTCTTTATACTTTAATTTTGTGTGAAATTTTACGCCCAATCGAATAGTAGTACTGGCATGGTTGCAAAAGGTGTTTATTAATATTATTTTGATCCTAATAAACTAATATATTTACATTATTTTTATTTTATAATTACATAATATAACAGTTTACAAGTTCTATACTTTTTTACATACCAAAAAAATGTATACAATTAGAAAATAACACAAAAATAAAATTTTTTATTAAATTTACTGAAAAATAGGTACTTACGCGTTATCTCGACTACCTTGGGTGCACAACCGTGTTATATCGACTACCAAAATATTTCCAAGACTACCTATTATCATCAACCGTGTTATCTCGACTACCACAATTTATAATAAAGTTATAATAAACAATATAGGACATAGGTAATATGTTATAATAATAAAACATGTAATTAATAATTATTTACGTTTTTACGGTTATAAAAAATTATTACAAAATAATGTATAAGTACTTAAAAATAAAAACATAATAAACAATATAGGACATAGGTAATAATTAGGGCCCGGATTTTTATGCAAATGCATATTCTTCTACATTTGACGTATAATAATTCTGATTAAATATCTTGACGTTTCATAAAACGTAGAGTCTACTGTTAATTTTTTATTTTGCATATTTTTGCATATTTGCATCAAAATGCATAATAATTGCATATTTCGGGGTAATTACATAAAATGTGCATATTTAATAAATAATTGATAAAATATTTTAAATTTTACTCAAAGTTTGATATATATGCCGATTTTACGCGATCGCCGACGTTCCTGACAAATATAATTCATTATATTATTAAATTATTTAATGATTCAATGAGTATATGTATATTATGGTCTGAAAAAGTATTGCATGACAAAGTGTTATTGTATGTCACAGACGCCGCTCCTTATAATATGGTAAAATCTGGACATGCGCTTAAGGTATTTTATCCTAAACTAATCCATATTACTTGTATGGGCCATGGGCTTCATAGATTATCAGAAGCTATTGGGGATGAATTCTCAAATGTTGATTTGTTGATATCTAACACAAAAAAAGTTTTTTTAAAAGCACCTAGTCATGTAGGTACTTTTAAAGAAAAATGTCCAAACTTAAGTTTACCCCCAAAACCTATTATTACTTTTATTACATTATTTTACAACTTATTATTAATTTTTCAATTTGATAATTTAAAAGCACATTTTGTTACATCATGTTGGTATTCTTTCAATAATTAATACAAATTTGTATGCTTTATACACATTTTAAAAAATGATATTTAAATTGTATTTTTTTTTCACTTAATACTATATTTTTTAATTTTTTTTTTAAATTTTGTATTTTTAAACAATACATTTTTTTGCATATTATTTGCATATTATTTGCATATTTTTGAATTTTTGAGTGCATATATATGTGCATATTTAACAAACATTTTTGCATAAAAATCCGGGCCCTAGTAATAATGTTATAATAATAAAACATGTAATTAATAATTATTTACGTTTTTACGGTTATAAAAAATTATTACAAAATAATGTATAAGTACTTAAAAAAAAATCTGGTAAAAATAATATGTATGGTAATTAATAATTTTTTTGTGGAGGGAAGTATGTTTTAAGATCCATTAGAATTTGATCAAATGGTGTATCGTCTCCAATGTTTTGTCGCCAAACAAATTCAGTAAGATAGGAATCTAAATGATGACGAGCTGTTCCCCTCTGCTTTTTGTTTCGCCACTTTGCCGATCCCCATAGGCGTTCAATCGTTTGTTGTGTGTGTGCTCCTGTGGTTGGGTCAACAATATTATAACTGTGATTTACGGTATAGTGATCGAAGCCGGATGATTTTAATAATTCGGTGTTATAAGCACGCCAACAATCTGAATATATCGTGGTACCTTGTTGAATGTTATTTTGGATCGCCAAAAGCAGAGTTCCTGTTTTTCTATCTGGCACTTTTATTAAAAATGACTCTTTTGTCTCTCGACAAATTCCTCCGAATATCCACTGTTCGGGAAGTACCCTGCCAACGTGGTTTTTTCTTTTCGAAAATAGACTTTCATCGATCTCGACGATTTTCCCCGGTCCACCTATTTTTGTTTGTGGTTTATTTTCAACAGCCATTGCACATACTTCGCGTAGGTAATTATTCCAGTCAATAACTGTATTTAAGCTTAAACCTAATTGTTGCTCGCACCATTTCGCACTCGTCATTTCGTGAGACCACCCATATATAAATCGTACGGCAATCGTAAACGATATTCGTGATTTTGCAAACCAATTGCCATTACGTACATTTACCTTTTTTTGGCATTTCTTAACATTGCATTTCCAAAATATAACTTTGCCAAGTGATTGTTTTGACAAATCCGTACACTTGGCAACACTCCGCGTTCTTGAAGAAATTGCACAGCTTCCTTTTCTGAAGATGGCAAATTAAAAAAATTCATGTTGGCTAGACGTAGCGCGTATGTACTATACAGTAAATTATAACTGACGGACGTAATAAGGACGGCTGTCGACTGACTGACGACATAAATACCTGGTCTGATGGCAAGGTACGTGGATAGTAAATTGTACATCGAAAACAAAATTAAATTGTCAATTACGATGATACAGATTACAACGCGGGAACGTACGTTTTTAAATAGAATCTAACAGGTAGTCATGGAAATATTTGGGTAGTCGAGATAACATGGGTGATTCTCCCAGGTAGTCTTGGAAATATTTGGGTAGTCGAGATATCACATAAGTACCGAAAAATAATAATTTTAAAGTTATTTGAGACTACTGAAAACCAACAAAAATTGACTTGTATCCCAACATAATAACATAAAAACCATCTAATTATTATAATTTAAAATTAAATCTAAACTCTAGTCAAAATAAGAATGGTAGTCGGCAATGATAGTCAGACGCTTTGTCAGATGCTTCCACCAAAAAGTCGAAGTCAGTGGTTGGGAATGAAGCCATGCCCCCGCTCAAAAGTTGGCGGCCGACAATCATTTTTATTTTGAATAGAGTATACAATATGTAATACATAATAAGAAACATAGCATATCGTGATGGTTTAATTTTTGAATGGTTGCCTATAAGAATTTAAGAGAAAAAGCAATTAAAAACATGATGTACTAACTTGATTAGAATGTCCACTAGATTTTCACATACTAATTTCAACTCCATATTAGGTTCCCATTTGTGAAATTCCCTTAAAATAAGATAAGTTCCTTGATCTCTGATTATTTCTCTGCAATCTCTTTTAGCACTCAACTTTAAACATAATACATTTTATAATAATTACATAGTAAATTTCTTATAATTTCACATTTGTTGCACAATTAACCTGAGTCAAAGCTTGTAACAGTGCCAGGCGTAAATCTGAATCTGGTTCTCGTTCTTTATCATCAGGTAGATATTGTAAATCCAATGGTAGTTTTTCATTATCCTCTTCATCAAACTGCTCAGGGCCAGCTAGTGGTAAAAGAAGGCGAGGTAACAAATCTAGATCTTCGCTTAATAACCATTCATGCTTTTCTAAACAAATACAAAATAAATTACTAATATTGAATAAGATAAGATGACATATGACTAGATAATAAGTGTAATAAGTTACCTAATTCAAAGCAACAGTTTTTTATAGTCATGATAACACCAGCTCTTCGAAGTGAGTTGTTTAAATTTAAAAATGGAAATAATTTTTGCAAATTATCACTATTCATTAACCACCTACAAAAAAATTGATAAAAATAATAATTTAAATAGGTACCTTCATTTGTTTAACATCAGATACCTACTTACATTCTTACTTCATGTAACTGACATAAATTGGATAATAAATATGAAATATAATCATAATTTGTTTCATGTTGTACATCTCGGGTGATGAACAACTTCATGAACGATTCTAATGTTGTAGTTGGATCTCCAAATGATTCATACACTTGAATGGCATGACTTTTTTCACGGGTTAGGTTGCACAACAGCTTCAGTACTGAACTTGCAATCTCTGGTGTTTTTTGATCAATATATCGTATTGTTTTTGATATGATTCCCTAACAATACATTCAAATTAAAAACTACTGTCATAAGTTCCCTTTTAAACCAAAATCTACCAAGTCATTTGAACTGATGTTACTGTTTAAAAATGACATTATTTTTTTCAGACCATTTTCTTTTGACGAAATATTGACCAAACACAAACAGGCTGCATTGGCATTGACCTTATCGGTTTCTAAAAGTTTGAATAAACCTCTAAGCAATTCGTCCATATTATCGACAATCACTTTGTTTTCTTTGTATTTGTCAGCCGTCAGCACTAGAAGAAAAATCCATTAAAACTCTTAGAACAGATTTTGTTAAGAAACCCAAATAAAAACCAAACATACCCAGTAGATGTTGTAGAATGTCACTTTTCAATTTGGGATCACCACCATCCACCACCAACGAGTGGACCATAACGGGCAATAAATGATGTGGTATCTCTGAATCCATGACCTATGGTGTTTATAAATAAAATAATAAATCTTTAGTCGGTGTCAAATCTAAATAGGTAACCGAAACACAATTTACAGGTGCACCGGCTAGAGACTGTCAGATTGACACCTATGATTTTTAGGCATCAGATTAATTATTATCGTCTAGGTAAAATCAACCAACGGAATTAAAAAAATAAAAATACGACGCGAACCGAAACCTGTTGGTTGTCACTTGTAACTTGCATAGAATATAGATAATAAGTAATAACTAATAACTAATAAGTAATAACTTGCAAGACGTTGTAAGCGACCGGCACGGGGCACACCGACTTCGCAGTTCGCAGTTCTCAGTTTCTCACTTCTGAAATTTAACTTCATGATAACGTTACACGTGCTCGTTATCAGCGCTTACAAATTATTCCATGAGACATCGTGGGCGCGATTCGTTTCCATAAGATATTTTTTAATGTTATCGCCTATCGGACGCACGGGAGATAACCGCTATCGATCGATTGGTTTTAGCGTTCAACTACATTTCATAATTGAAAGTTCAAACCATCCAACGTTGTTACTTGTTACTCAACTCTAGTCTTTTACTCTCGTCTCACTAGTGAACTGCACAATAATATCTTAAGATGGAAAATATGTTTAGTACGTCCGGAGAAAAAGAGACTGATGAAGTGAGTTTAAACATTTTATACGTACCTATCGCATTAATATCCGTCCATCGTTTGCTGTCTGCTGTTAGTTATTGACTGTTGTGTGGTTGAACGACTCGGCCGAGTTACATATTATATTACATTATTATTTTTATATTTTCCTCGCCTGTTGACGATAATAATATGTAGTTAATGAAATTATTTTTAATATCAGTGTTTGTAACAATGTTGTAATAATATTGTTCACCCAGATTTTCGTAAATTTGTTATTAGAATTTGGAATGATCGTTGCGACATGTGTCTGGTCGTGAACATTCCGTGAAATCGTTACTGGGTGTAATACAAAAACTCGCAAACCAGAAAACCAGCAATAATATACATTTTCCCTTTGATCTTCTTTAAACTTTAATTATGCACTATTTGTATTGAACTAGTGATTGCGATTATGTCACAAAAATGGCCCAATCATACAGCGGAGAAACTTTGCGTTATATTTTTAAAAAACTCGTTTATATTATAATTTCGTAGTATTTTTTTAAAATATTTGAATAATTTTCGTTTTACCTAAATGCATTTACTGAATGTTTTGTAGGGATAATAATTTTTCTGGAGATACACCTATTAATTACAAAATATACACCATAGGTACTAAGTATAACCCGTGTTTTTGTATGAATAAATTATTAATATTTTACTTAGAAATTCAAAACATTTAATACCCATTAGGCATTACCTATTATAGGTGTTTGATTATGAATTATAATAAATTAATTGTGGGGGTTTTTTTAAAGTTTGTTACACTGTAACTGGGATGTTTACCTTGAAAAATTGATTTTAGGTATGTAAGATATCTGGCATTGAAAATGATTGCATAACAACGTAAAACTAACTCTTCCTCGACAAGAACAACATTAAATACCTACACACGTACCCTACATAGTATATAATATAATATAGTATTGACACATTGTGTACATAAAATTAAATATAAAATTATTAGTTTTAATGAATATATTTTAGTGATAAAATTTTTTTTTCGGTTTCAATGTCTGTTCAGGAAATCGAGAAAGTAATAATTGTTTAATCAACTCGTTGTCTTATAATGTATTAAAAACATTCAAAAATATTTAAATATGAGATACGCCACGCACCTGATAACCGTTTACTTTATTGATTATTAGTTATATAATACTAAATTATTTAGTTGTGGCGGAGAGCGGTACTAAGTTTGATTCTGTACAGACTAGTGTACAGTGCGCACTGCGCATTGTATAACAGTGAATACTGAATTTGCATTATTACTACTGTAGGCTGGACAGTTTGTAACATTTTGTACAAAACATTCGGTATTTATTTTAAACATTTTGATTTTACATTGAATGAATAAATATTACTACTATGGAAAGAGAAAAAACTCGGTTTTCCCCAGATACTAGCGATAATAGTTTAGGGTGTGCGAGGGCTGGTGTAAAACCGAACAGGCGTAAACATAACATTGGTCGGCTACAGGGCCGGATTGGTATGTATCGGCACATCGAGATTTTCACTTCTATAGGCGGCCCATTTACATATTCAGTGGCCCAAAATTACGTCTATAATTTTTACGAGCTTATTGGGGGCCAATCGTATTTTAAACAAGATTTTATTTTCACTCAACCTCACACGACCGGCCCAAACTTTAAGCGGCCCACCGAGATTTTCTCGGTAGCTCGCCTTACCAACCGGCCCTGGTCGGCTATTCTATTTTAATATTTTATATAAACGAAGTGGAATTTAAGCAGACTGCCGTGGCAGTATAAAACTATATTTAAGATTATTTTTGATAATCTAGTAGGTACTTACAGAATAAACTTTTTACAATTCAAACTTTAGTTTTGATATAATTCAAAAAGGAAAATGTAAGCTTTATTTACATGTTATTTTTTTAAATAAATAAGTCGTTTTAACACGCCCAACTAGAGTCAAATTTTCAGTTTTATGCTCGCATAGCAATTTTTACAAAATTTCCTAAAAAATAATAATAATGGGTGGGTGTCTATTGTTATAAAATGTTTTAAAAGCTTTGCTCCTATTATTCATTTATCTTTCCCGAATTGCTAGAAGATATTGGCAAAAAATGTGCCCTGGCCCCTGGGCCAACTAATTTTCCCGGAAATATTTTCGTATCCCTGAAGTGGTACCCCAAAATGTTTTTTTAGACTTTAACATTTTAATGACATATTTACAAATTCTAAAAACTAATTTGAAATTATTTGCAATTTATTTGAAAAATATTAGCACATTTTTTTCGATCAAATAATGTCAGTTGCAAACTTCGTGGTCATATGAGAACATTTTCGAGCACATTCACAATCTAGGCCACGATTCAACAAATTTACCATAACAATTTATTATAAAGGTACTGATGTTTCACAAAATAAGCTCGGTAGCCGTGATAACGGAGGTAGTCTTGACCCTTATGTGATTGTCGCGATAACAGCCGTAATCTCGTATAACAGGAAACCACGGACTAAGATCTTAGTCCGTGCAGGAAACTATATATAATTTTGGTAGTTTTAGATAACAGGATTGTGATGTTGTCAAAAGCAGAGTAGTCTCGTATAACAGAAAAGTACCATTATAAACTATTATTAGATTATAATCAAAATTCAAGATATATATATCACCGATATTTGATTGTGCAAAAATTGTATTAGGTACGTTATAAAGGTACAATAACCAAGGGTGGTTAAAACAGACGATCACGGACGCTTTCAAACACGATCGTTTATTATTAGGTAACACAAAAATTAATAATAAAAAATAAAAATCAATAATAAAAAAAAATGTATTATAGAAGTCGATCCTCAAAGGTGAAGTAGGTATATTATTAAAAAAGTTCACTCCTGCTATATACCTATGTAGTATAGATCATGGCTTAAATTTATTAATTAAGCCATGGTATAGATAATAGATTCTTGAGATGCGTTATACGACTTATACCCTATAGGCCTATTTCACAGAAACAAAATTTATTTATACGAAATATATTTTGTTTCTGTGAAATAAAAATTCAGTGAAAGCTGATCGATAATTCTTTTATTTCTACAAAACTTTTAGTCGTCAATAAAAAAAATTGGTTCGTATTATTTTATTTGACTAGTCCAGTGGTGGATTTAAGAGGTGGCCTGAGATGCCTGTCCTCCTATGGTCCATTAGCCAGTCGCCTTACGCCTATAGGTTAATAAATTAGACAATTTTTTAATAGTTGTGGTATGAATCCAGTTTTATAATTTATAAACGCATAGGTCGTAGACGTAAGTCATAATTAGGATTAGGATGTTTATGATCTTAAAAACTGTAATGTATTAAACAAATATTATAATGTTATATAGGTATCGTTTTTGCAGCAACTCGTTCTTGGGGCCAATTGTTTGCTTAATTGAAATTATCATTTATTTGTGGCATAGGTTCTTTTTCTTTGAGTTTTTATGATATAGTATTATAGTGTTATTTTAAGGTTTCCAGGAGTTTTTTTAGGAGGTTTTTAGGACCTAAGTAATTTGTTTTGTGATAAAACGGAGTCAACAATAACAAACTTATCAACTTTTTAATTAATTGTTGGAGTTTGAACTTTAAATTATAGAATGCATTTCTTATATTCTTAAATGATATATAATGAAATACACGGAAATAATTATGAATTATTATACCATAAAGTAGCTAGGATAGTTAGATAGGTAGGATGTCACCTGCAATATTATGCAAAAATATTCATAAGACATAAATAATTGTTTGTAATAATATAATAAACTTAATACATCAATATTCAATATTATCTATAACACAATTATATAACATTTTATAGTTTATTTCCGAAGACTAATTTATTATCTTGATCGAGGTATACGATTTACAATTTTCATTAACTATTATTGTTGCACAATAATATACAGAAATCAGAACATAAGGCCCGTTTCACGTGGACGCGTATCGTCCGCGACGTACGCGCTCGTTTTTAGTTTACATTGATTAAGTTCATACGCGCCATGCCGACGAGGGAAATACGCCAGCGTCGGTGTTGCGCGTAGAATTTAACCAATGTAAATGAAAACGGTTCTTCGCGTATGAAATAAATATTAATAGGTAACTTAAAAAAATGACTGGAACTATTATGTATTTATTAATTATTTCATACTTTAAAAATATTAATTGTTTCATTAAATCAAAGAAGTTTGATATTAATTTGAATACATATACGTACAAACATTTTATCGTAAATCGAAGTACCTACTTACGTTTATTTACTTTAAATAATTATTTATTTACCATTTCAATGTAATTCTATTGATTAAATTATTTATTTTTCAATTTATTTGAGATGATTCTATTATAGTTAATTATAAGCAAAAAGTTTTAATGAAAATCATAATTAATTGAAGCAACCTTGAATATCAAGAAATTAATGAAATAGTAGTAATAAGTACTGAGCATTTTGATTTTAAGTAATGTTTTATTCTGAGTGTGTCAGTATAACTATTTACCTGGAGAGTATTGGCTGTAAATAATATGTGTTATTATTTTAAATAATTTCGTTTTCCGTTGCATTTTATATTTCCTCATCGTTTTCCATGGGATTCAATAATTAATGTTTTATATTTGAGTGGCTATAGGCCGGGCGCATTCCAAAACAGTACGAAACGAACAGCCAGGTTATTTCAATGGCTATGCAGAATAAATTGCAGTATGGCAATTTTTTTCCACTGTATTCGTGTGCAGTGTGCACCAGCTGACCATACACGAGTACAATATTATATTATGATGCCAATGTTATATTGTCATCCACCCTTTTCATCCTCGGCAAAAAATTACGAGACCGAGTTTTTCAAGAATAATAAACCAATAACGCTAACACCTAATAATTATTAATTGCACATGTTTTTATGTCTAAATTGGGATGAGCTTACAAGTTATAATACAGCCAATACAGGCGATAGAAATTGGGGGGACGCCACGTTAAAACCATAATTTTATAAAATTGTATACAATTTACTCCGTTTATTACCTATACTCTAACAATTTACAATGTCGTCTACTGGAGTACCTATTATTATAGTTGACGCAGTTAAAAACGATGCATACGCTACATGTATGACGAGATTAAAAACTCTGTGCTGCCCATAGCATACAAGTCCTGTTTCACGATTGATTTATAATTTGCCTTTAACTCTACTATTTAACAGTTTATAGAAATTAAAAAGTATAGGTATACCCATAATATATGTATAAATTGCATATATTATATAATATTTTTATTAGTATTACTTGTGACAATGTGATGTCATCATCGTTATTGAAAAACTGATAACCAAATTGAAGATATTATAATGAATTAATATAATATCATGTATTTAAAAAAACATGTATTTTATATTTATTTTAATTTTGATGTATTCTTATATACCTAATTTAGTATAGTTTAATTGATTTACAACAATTGTGTATGGCTTATATATAATATAGCGTAATATGCTGATCATAAAGTTTTAATTTTTAAGTTAAAATTTGTATAATATGTCAATTCTGATTTAATGTATTTTTTTTTAGAAACTCTTGCAGCCTTTCACATATATTATGCAAGTGCCAGGCAAGCAAATCAGAGCTAAACTAGCTCATGCATTTAATTATTGGTTGAAAATTCCATCAGACAAATTGGCTGTTATTGGAGACATAGTGCAGATGTTGCATAACTCTAGTCTCTTGTAAGTATACACTTATAGAGTAGAATAAAGTTTAACTGTAATTAAAAATAATTTGAATCCATATGGGTGAATTCTCTGTTGTGTAATATACTAATATTTGAGTTTATTAGTTATCTAAAAACCGAAACTAAGGCTAATGTATAATATGTATTGTATGTGATATTCATATTATGTAATTTTAAGTTAAAATATGTATTTATAGTTTTGATAACTAATAACTATTACAGTATTTAAAAATTAAGAGTGAAATAAGTTATTCTAAGTTTTAAAGTTATATAATCTGATTGTTTAACCAGTGAAAATTAAAGGTAATATATTATAATACCTACTATATTATAGTGTATTTATGTATATTAGTATAATTAATCATTAAACTTTTTTTGAATAAATATTTATCTATTCATTGTTTAATAATTGTATCACATCTTACATAAGTGTATCTGAAAATAATTATTACTTATTACAATGTTACCTACTTATTAATTATTATACATAGGTACTTCCATACATTTAAAGTAAATCATGAATCATGATTCATGATTTATATAGGTATAAAGCAATAATTAGATAACCTAAAATATTATATAACTTTTTTAATTAACTTGATATATTGTACCTGTAGTATGGCTGTATATATTGTCTATTAAATAATTTATTGATATACCTAATATCATGAACTAATGTAACTAATTAATTGTATTGACCAAAGAACATAAATTAATCGTATTCATGGTTGTTTACCTAATTATGTTTATTAATTTATTATTATATAATAAAAAAATATATTAAATAGGCTAACGACCTGTGGTGTTGAAGCCTTACTTTTAATAAAAAAAATATATATATATCAAGAGAAAATTGACTGTAATGTTGTAGAAGTATATATTTTAAATGTCTAAATGTTATATATATTATCATTTATTATTAATTTCAATTTACTAATTATTGGGGCTCGGAAGTTGTTGTATTTACATGTTTTTATTGGGCTATTCAAATTATTGCTAAGTAAGCTTGAAATTATTTTCACAACACTACGAAAGCCATTAAAAGTTTATAATGCATATTGTTGCATATTTAGTGACTGTAATTTTAATCACATATTTCTTAATTTTACCATTTTTTAGAGCATATTTAATGATTTATTATCAATTGATAGTAAAATTTGTAAATTTTGCAATAAAAAATAAAATATACTTATTTTGAAAGGTTTCATTAGATGTTATATTGCATCATGATTCTTTAATTCCACTCGTTTTTTCAAATTTTCATTTATACTTAAGCTTTACGGATATATCATTTAATGGGAACAATTTAAAAGAAAAATAATTTTATTTTGAGAACATTTTTCAAGCTATTTATTTATTTTATTTTATCTTATATATTTATACCTGGCAATTATGTTAAGTTTTATTTGTACTGTTGTTAAGTAAAATTTAGTAAAATATTTGAATTTATGAAAATATTGCATTGAAAAAAAAAATAATTTATGCTATTTTTGAAGCATATTATTAAGTTTTTAAACGCATCAGTGTATTAGAGCATATTGATTACTTTTTCAGTGCATTAAGTTCCGAGCCCTACTAATTACTTTGACTGAAGAATTAAAAATAGACATCCAATTAGTTCTGGCAATTGTTTATTCAATTCTTAACTGAATCATTGACAAATTATTAAAAATGTATACATTAAAGTTAATTTTATTCACTATTTAGTTTGTTTAATTTTCTAAGTTTCAAGTTGAAGAAATACTTATATACATTCAACATTATTAATAAGTTATTATAATTATTATAATAATTTTTAAACAAAAATCAAAATTGATAGTTACTTATGTTTGGCATTTTAGAACTGATGATATCCAAGATAATTCAGTCTTGAGGCGTGGGATACCTGTGGCTCATTCAATCTATGGTGTTGCTAGTACAATCAATGCTGCAAACTACATGTCATTTGTTGCATTAGAACGAACTCTAAGCCTAGGACATCCAATGGTACATATAACTCTTATTTTTTTTAATAAATTCTTTATTAAATAATTAATAGCTAATAAGTTGAATATATATATACTTTTAGGCTACCACTGTATACACTGAACAGGTGTTAGAACTTCACCGAGGTCAAGGAATGGAAATTTATTGGCGAGATAATTATACATGTCCAACTGAAGATGAATACAAAAAAATGACAATCAGAAGTAATTAAATTGTGTATTAATTATTTTATATGTGTTGGTTTTTTGGTATACATAATTGTTTAGTAATATTTAAAATTCACTTAATTTAGATATTTAAAAATAAGTTATGCATAAAATATATTCTTAACACCATAGGTACTTATAAAACTGTATTTTTAAATTTTTGTATATTTTATTTTTAAGAGACTGGCGGTTTATTCATGCTTGCTATCAGACTTATGCAGTTATTCAGTGACAGTACTAATGACTTCACAAAACTTACTGGAATATTAGGATTGTATTTCCAGATTCGAGATGACTATTGTAACTTGTGTTTGCAAGAAGTAAGAAGTATTGGATATTTATTGTAGTTTTATTGATTCAATTTATTTTGTATTTATGTATAATTTAAAAATATATGGCCAAAAATTGGCCGTATACCAGGTCAGGTAAAAATCAGTTATAATTATTAATTATAATTTTTAAATTTTTATTATGAGAATACTATATTCTGATTTATACTGTTATCTGACAAAAACGTGGAATATAGGTTGTATATTTAATCTATTCAGTAATATAATTTTTAATATTAGATTAAAACATTAAATTGAATAATTATTATCACAGATTTTTGTAGGTCAATTACCAGATTAGGAACTCTGAATGAAACTAATGCAAAATAGTTATAGCTCGTACACCATATTTTGGGTTGGAAAATATAGAAATAATATTTTAAACATCATATTATTATTATGTGTTAAATATCATTATCGATTCGGCAACTGAGTAAATAGTGAAATAAGTTTAATTTTATGACACAAATTTCTTATTTAGTATAGAGTAGGTATAGATATTAGGTATAGATCAGAGAAGTCTGAAATGGTATTTTAATATTGAAAATCAAATTTTTTATCTGTGGTACCTATATTATTCTATTTATGACAGTCAACCTGTTAAAAAGAAATAAATACATTTTTTTTTTATCGTTTATTATATTATGTTTAAAACTTGATAAAATTACTTATTAGTTATTAGTATTAAATCTAATATTAAAAATTAAAAAATGTTTATTGATCGTGCAGTTTATTAATTTTTATGATATAGGTACAGAAATAAACATTAGTTTTCAATATTTTCCATAAGTTCAATATTCATACAAACGAACAAACAACTTAAAGTAAATGTGTTTTCAAAGTGTTTAAATAAAAATAAGAAGCAGAGTACCATAGCTTATTAAAACATAAATATGGAATATTTATAGAATAAATTATGCAAATATTGAAATATCATTCTCATTCTCATTCTTTAAAAAATGTATTTAATAATTAAGACTTTGTTTTACTTTAGTATTCCGAAAACAAGAGCTATTGTGAAGATTTAACAGAAGGAAAGTTCAGTTTCCCTATTATACATGCAATTCATACTCACCCCGAAGACAAACAAGTGATTCGTATCCTTTATGATAGTTAAGACTAATTATACAATTTTTTTAATAATATTTCATCATCCTGCCAAAATGTTAAATTTTATTTGTTAACAACATGAAATACCAAAATTATTATAATAAATTGTAACGTTGTACTTAACCCATAAAAACTATTAGACATTTTGAGACAGCGAACAAGAAATGTTGACGTGAAAAAGTACTGCGTGAAGTTGTTGGATAATTATGGTTCATTTGAACACACAAGGCAGGTGTTGACACAATTAGATGCAGATGCTCGCAAGGAAGTGGAAAATCTTGGTGGCAATCCGTTGATGATTAAAATATTAGACGGACTTAGAAACTGGTCATATAATTTTGATGAAAAGACAAACAATTAACTGTTTTATTTTAATATTTTATTTTCAATTTCCACCATGACCAATACTTTTGTGAAGTAGTTTTGTTTATGTGAACTGTCATATTTCTAGTTTTGTAATAAATATTTTGTCTTACCAAATTATGACAAATGTAATGGGGACCCTTTTTTTGTATATTTACTAATCATTAGTAGAGTTTATTATAATTAAAATGTTGCTGTACTCTGTCAACCAAATACTATTAAATAATTTAAATCCTAATGGCCTTATCATTAATCTTGAAAAAGTTCTTAATTTTTTTTTTTTAATTATAAAATTGTTATGTGGCAATCAATGACTGTAAACAAAAATAAAATATAGGCCATAATGCCATAATAAAACACATTTTGGCCAGTTTAATATCTAAGTACTTAAGTATAAAATATTGCCAAAGTATCAATGTTCAAGCATTTTACCAGAGTATAATAATAATATATAGTCTTCCAATTAAATATATTATATTATATACTTTAAAAAAAACTTAAACATTGTAATTTTTGTACTTTAATGCTATTATTTGATATTTATTATTAATTTTTCACTTTTTTAAACCATCATTCAATTTCTTAGTTTTATATTATATTATTTTGCTTACCTAATCTTAAAAAACCAATCTGCTCATGGCCGTTTTTGTCAAACGTCTTTGCTAATTAGCACCTAAGATTTACCAATTGTTTCTAATTTTAAGTACTTATAAACATATGTATGAAAATAATGAATAGATACATATTAGTGAGATATTAATTTATAGTTAACATTATGTTATATGTATGTGTAAATGTTGTATACGTATACAAATTAGTTACAGAAAATAAATATCACTTGATTAAAATTGATTTGTGTGCTGTTACTTATAAGTTATAACTTATAACCAATGATAATACCCCTTAAAATGTATGGATAACATTATGATTATTATTTTAAACAATCTTTACTTAAGCTGTATACAAATTTATTTTTGAATTGGCTCATTTCCATGGTCGAATGATTTGTTGCATCTATTGATTTTAATCAAAAAATTATTTTTATAGATTTTAACCAGAAAAGTTTAGAACAATTAAAGAAAAAAGACAGAATGAAACTGATTAATTGTTGAACAATTTTTAGTCCGATGAAATATATCCTGTGTGTTTAACGAAATTCATAAGCATGTATATTAAAATGAAAAAATCAAGCAACAGACATGTTGGTGACTGTGACATATACTATATAAGTATGCCTTTGCAGGATACAAGTTGTTCAAAATAATCGAGTTTTCTAGTTAAATCATTTTTTGTCCGAAAAATGGGCGTTTAGTTGAAAGCCACGCTGGGCTTTTTAAAACACAAATTTTACTTATGATCTATTACCCATATAATATATGGTCTGACTAGTCTGAGCGTGCAATTTTTGTTTGATATCCTGTAGTATATTTTACCAATAGAATAACCATGTCTGAAATATATATTTTAAATTTGAATTGAATACAAATCCAATGGAAGACATTTTATTATTTTAGTTGGGAACTGTACAGCGAATTTGGTACTGAAGCTGGCAGCTCAGTTACAATAATTGATGAAAATATGGGCGCGGAACCACGTCAGTATAAGTCTGTAGGTATATTTTATGTGGCCATCTTCTCATTTACGTATAATATTACTTTTATATTAGTATATTACCTATGTACATACCTACTAACCATAGTGTATAATAGTATAATGGGTACATATTATAATATTTATTTTTATGTATATTTTATTGGCAATTGGCAGTTTGGCATAGGTACTGGTCTGTAATTCACTCGACAAAATATAATTAAAGAATAATTTTAAGTGGGTGGGTATTCGAGAGAACATATCAAGAGAGAGAGACCGCATCAATACTATGAGAACTTATTATTATGGTTACTTATAGTTATACAGGGTGTTCCTGAAATGGATGAGGTAACTATAGTATACGAGTACTCAGTGTGATGATGGCCCCATGAAGATTTTTTTGAATTTTTTTCAAAATCTGGGTTTATACAAATTATTATTAGAACATTATCTTAAATGTGGAAATAAGTGGTCTGGTTGTATTTTTTGCAAAATTCTCATTCGAATCGAGGTGTCACATCATTTTCGCGCTTGTCGCTCGTTTTTCACTCTCGAATCGCCGACTAAAAAAAAAAAAATGGTGTGGCCTATCGATTTGTATGAGAACATTACAAGATAAACAGCGGTGATAGTTATTTGTTGTTATTTAAAAATTAAATTAAAATACATGATTAATTAAAGCATTATTTTACATCGTCAACCAATAAAAAGGTGGGCAAGTGGGTGTCGCTCTGCTGTACAGTAGGTTACAAGTGGGTCACTGTATAATGGATGATATTAAATTTGAATTCAACGATATAATATCATTGTATAAGAAAAACGATTCTGAGCGGAGACGGTATGTCAGTCTATGTATAAGACATATTATATACATATCTATGGTATTAAAATTAAACAAAAAATTGACCTATAATAGGTAACTATAATAAATTCCAAATTAATCATATCACAATATCCATTAGGTACTTATAACGCGTTATACTTCAACAAAAACCGTGATACTATCATAGATATATAATAGTACACTTAAGAAGTTTCAAGTACCCACGAATAATATTATTCAACAAAATAACTAAAATAGTTATTCTAGGTTTTTGAATATGTAATTTCGTCCAAATTTGAATTTAAAATGTCTGTAAAAAATAACTGTGATCATATATTTTTTAGATTTTTTGGTTACAGTATGAACTATTTATGAGAACCTTTGTGTTGAATTTGCAATCCTTAGCTATAAAAACTAATTCAATTTTAATTAATAATTTATTAATTACAATGATTGATAATTTTCGAGATTTTGATAAATTTTGTCAAAATTTGATCTTTAAATGCTTATAAAAAAAAACTATGCTTATGTATTTTTAATATTTTTCAACTGCTATTGTAACAATATATCAGGAGCCTTGTATTAAATTTTTACACTTTTTGGCCCAACAGATAAAACTTTATTGATATTTATAGAAAAAAAAACTAAAAAAAATTGAAAGCTGTAAATGTCCATAAACAGCTCAAAAAGAGTCAAAATATTTTCAAAAATGTATGGTGTATAGGAAATGCTAATATAAACATTCAGTGAAATTTTCATGTATCTACAGTTATTCGTTTTTGAATTACAACAAAATAAGGAAATTGCTACATGGGAAATCGAGTGAATATTCAATGTTGTAAAAATTTGAATTTCAAACGCTCATAAAAATTTAATTTGACTTTCTTATAGACATTTTTCTTTTTATAAAGGTAGATAATCTTATAAGGAATCTTGTGTTTCATTTTCAAATCTTAGATTTAAAAAGAAAAATTTTTACGAATTCTTAACTCAAAATAATTTGCTAGATTTCGTGATTTTTCCATATTTTGTTAATTTTTGAACTTTAAATGCTTATAAAAAAAAATTGTGACTAAGGATTTTTAATATTTTTCATCTGCCTTTGAAACAATTTGCCTTCTATTACATTTTCAAGCTTTCGCACCTAACAAATAAAATTGTATTGATATTTTTAGAAAAAAAACTAAAAAAAAATGGAAAATGAAAATGTCCCTAAACAGTTCAAAATAAATCAAAATATTTTGAAAATGTTATCGTGTATAGAAAATGCAAATATAAACAACCAGTGAAAATTAGAGTTACACCAAAAACCAAAATCGATTTTTTGGAAAACCAATTTTGCGTAAAAATTCCCGTTTTTCCTTAATTTTTATGTTGTTTTTTCCCGGCGCTTGTGAAAACTACTGGGAAATTTATACTTTTGACCCCCCAAAGTACCAACTAGATTCACTTTCTTATCAGAAAAGCTACTGATGAAGAAAATCCAAGCACTTTTACTGTCCTAAAACTTGATGACAGACACAAAAAAAAATAAAAAAAGAAACACACGTACATCATTGTAAAATCAATACATTCTTCGTTTCACTCAGAATCTAAAATGATAAAATAATAACAAAATTAGTTTTAAATGATTGAATTTATTGACACACATTGATTTTTGTGATTTAAATGTCCAGGTAATAAAATATGGTAAATTTTTTTCGTAATTTCTACTAAAAAATAACTAATAGACCGTCATTTTTAAATAATAAGAACATTAGTTTGATTTGATTATAGCTGAGTTGAATACCTACTTAATATTGAACAACACTTTAAATTTGTTTTTAAGATTTAAGGTTTTAATTAAAATTTTTAACAATGGAGGACACTATAGTTCAATGTTATAACATTGAATATTCAGAAAGAACATGTTTATGCCAAAGAATTACCTAAATAATAGAGATGGACTTTTGATGCGAATTAAAATGTAGACCATACATTCATCAAACACCAAATTTGTTGGAAATAACTTGGAATTCATTATATCGTCTGATCGAAAAATGCATCAAAGTTAACGGGAGTCACATGATCACATTAAACAACTGTAGATAAAAATAGGTTTTCAAAAGAAAGTGTATTTAACTATGATTATTTTACAATGTAACACAGCTTAAATTTATGTCAGTAAATTTGATAGTTTAAAACTTTGTTAACCCTAATTTAGTTATTATTTTATAGTTTTTATTGGTTGACAATGTAAAATAATACGTTAATTAATTGTGTACGTAGAATGAACACAATTGAATATCACCACTGTTTATCTTGTAATGTTCTCATACAAATCAATGTGCTTTACATTTTTTTTTTAGTCGGCGATTCGAGAGTGAACAACGCTCGACAAGCGCTAAAATGATGTGACACCTCGATTCGTATGAGAATTTTGCAAAAAATACAACTAGACCATTTATTTTTACATTTAAGATAATGTTCTAATAATAATTTGTATAAACCCAGATATTGAAGGTAAAAAAAAATTCAAAAAAATCTTCATTGGGGCATCACTCCGAGTGCGCCTATACTAGTTACCTTATCCATTTCAGAAACAC